TAATAAAATTGAGATTTTAATTGCATTTTAATTTTTATTACATTTAGATTAAAATGTAATAAGGTATTAATTTTAGTCATAAATTTCTCAGAACTTGATTTTCTTAGATCACAACCCATATACCAAAATTGCTTTTTCTTAACAAATTCTTTAACCCTCCTTTATAATTTTTATTACTTTCATTATGCAATAATTGTGTTTTGATAAACTTATTAGCTGCAAGAGCTTTCTCATATGCTTTTTATGTATAATTCAAAATTTTACTTAATGTCTCAGCATCTTTATCATTAAAATGAGATACTGTAATACAAACAATTAAATTTAATAATAAATAATAACATTAATAATGCCTATTACTTTCTTATTCATTGCAATTTTATTTCAAATATTCATACTTTACGTTTGCGATGCTCAATTGTTAAAGAAGAATCATTCTGAAATAACATATAATGAATTCATTAAGTGTATACTGATAAATGATAATGTAAAATTAAATTATACTTTCTTTAATTTTTAATATTACTTTTAATGATGAATTATTAGTAAGACCTAATATCAGATTCAAATCATTCAAATTTATATCAATAAGAGAGAATTGAAATGGTATTTTTTAATTTATTAGAAGTTATACTATGACATCTAATAACTAAGATTTTAACATTTTCTACTAGAGTCTTGAAATATTATTCACTCGAATCATCTGAATCATGAATTTCAACAAAGTCATTATTCTGAATATTACTAGCAAACTCCTTTGATATAACGGAGCTGATCTCTTTTAAAGAACTTGGTGATTTTTTCTAATAATAAATATTATTATTATAATATTAATCATCATTAATATAAATACAAAAATACAATCATTGATAAAAATATTTTCTTATTTTAGTAATAAAACGAGGATATAATTTTCTATTAGAAACAAATACAAAGAGAATTATTTGATCTAGTTGATTTAGATGACTTTTTTAAAAAATTGGTTTGTAAGTGTGATAAGAAAAATATAAAAAAAATAAAGGTATTTTATAACAAATTAAATGTAATACATGATCAGGAGATTTTAACTAAATAATTAAAATAAATTGACTTACATATGAATAATTTCATCACCAAGAATTCTATAAATAAAAATGTAATAATTAAAATAATTATACTATTAAATAAATCAAATTATATTTAACCATTTTTAAAAATTCATCAAATTTATCGAATTACATTTAAACATTTTTAAAAATAATCAAATTAGAATTTTAATTCATATCTCGATTATTATTCCTTCATAAGATAAAAAGAAAATTAAATATGTTTTGCATTAAAATTATGCAAGAATTTTGATGTGAATACTATCCAAAAATATTTAATAATCATAGCTTCCTTTAAAATCATCTCTGAATGCATCATGACCAGATGTATTTGAATAAAACAGGATTTTTTGGTGAAGAAAATACTTATATTAGCAGTCTTTTTGCAAGAAACTAATAGATCTTCTATAAGAAATGAACAAAACTTAATGTTAGAATATAGATATTAGTAGATAAAAACCAGAATTTTGTAGCAATAAAATTAGTTTAACATTAAAAGATACTTGCAATAAACTTTTTTATATTAAAGAATAAAAATGATACACAAAGAAATTATGATAAAAATCCTAATAAAAATTTATCAAGTGAAAATCTGGATAATTTAAATGAAATTTCTAATAAAACTTTAAGTAACGATTCAGATGAAATTTAAATATAGTTTCAAATACAAACTTAAATGAAAATTCAGATGAAATTTATCAAGTAGCAATAAAAGCAATAATGATAATAATAAAAAAAATTGTAATATAATTAAAATCATCAGCAATTACTATGAAATTCAAAATAATATTATAAATATCAGGTCATTATAAGAATTAACTAATTCAACATTAACAACATTTTCAAACCCTAAATATGAAACATTTGTATAGTTGGTTATAAAGCATAAACTTTTTGATTCTGTGATGAATGATATTATTTATTTATTTAATAACTTTCATATAGATCTAACTGTGACTTTACCATTAAATATGAAAGTAGCATAAGCCTTTCTTGATTTAATAAAAATCTTTCATATTCTTTACAAAAAAATGATTATAATGAATACAACCAAGTTTAATACTAAAGTTATAGACAAAACTAAAATCTTAAACTTGAAATGTTTTGGCTTTCAAAAACTAAAATCTAAAACTTTCTGATAGTCTAAAACTAAAATAAAATTGGTAAAACTCAACAATAATAGCAAAATCTTCTGAATCTAGTTAACTAATCAAAATAAATACTGATTTAAACCTTTAATACTATTTAAAATTAATCTGTACTAAAGGGATCAGCTTTTCTGACTCAGTGATTAAACCGCGAGTCTCCTATTAAGCTAAAGTTTCATTACATAATAATAGGCCATCAGTTCAGGTATCAGCCGATACATAAAACTAGATGATTTTTATATGAATTTTATATGTACTGAATACGATAGGCATATATACTAACATGTGTATAAATCTGGTTGATTGATCCATTGATCAACATTGATCATGCCTAAATACTGCACGGTATTAGAACAAGTAGATGCAAATAAAGTTAGAGGTCGATAGAAACTTAGCCTTCGCTGATTGGTCTGTAATGAATACAGTCTTACGTCTTACACAGTAGAAGCCTTTATTTCCATATATAATCATAAGATTATATATAAATTAAGAAAGTGATTGACCAGAAATTAGTAGATTAGATCAATTATGATAATAGACTACATTGCACGCTGCAGCATCGTTTAATTGAGCATATCATTAGATCTGAGGTTAGGTTTGATTCCTAAGATATTTGTCAATATAACCTGATTATTATCCTGCTAGTTCACTATTTAGGCAAATCTTGTGGTAATAATTCCATGAATTCTGCGACATTAGTTAGGTAAGAGTATACTCTAGCAAGGTATATGATATAATTGATTTCTCAGTTTTATAGTGATATGTAATTCCCAGATAGGTGATAACTCGAGGATGTCAAATCCTCTATAAGGGCTTAATTCTGCTGACTTAGTAACATCTGGGCCAGTTCTACTGGTATAGGTTACTAATGGATATATGAGCTGATAGAGATCCAAAGATTGGGGCTGACATATAGTTTCAATAGATTCTAGTCATAACGTCTCAGTCCAATCACCTGAACTGAAATAAAAAAAACTAATCTGTACTAATAATTAATAAATTAATATAGTAAACTAATTACAAAATTTATTTATTAATATATTATTAATAAATTAGGCTAATTAATGTGCTATTTAATTATAATATATAATTAGTATATAATTTATTATTTATTAATTTGATATATCTAAAAACAAAATCAATTAAAATGAAAAAAATCATATTTTGTATTTTGTGAAAATTAAATATACTTAGTTAATAATATATAATCACCTTTTTTTTAGATATACAGTACTAATATCACATTAAAAAAATAAATATTTTTTTTATTATAACATTAATTTTTATTATTATTCTTTCCATGATTTTAATTTATTTTTATAATTCAAAAATTAAAAATAAATCTAATGCTATTATTAATCATTAACTATAGTAATTATTTTATATTTTCAAAAATATTATAAAATTAAGAAAATAAAAATTAATATTTTAATTTTCATTTAAAATCAGATCAGCTTTTCTTTCAGGATCTTAATATTCTTCAATACTATTATCATTTTGAATGCTAATTATTTCATTATCATCAAAAAATATATCAAAAGGTGCAATATGATGTCAATAATTTCTCATTTAAGCTATTAATACTTTTTTTTTTTTAGTGTTTTATTCATTTTTCATAATATTCATCTGCTGCAAAAAGAATTCATCAAAATGTTCTTCTTGCTCAAACTAAATCTATAAATAAAGTGATAAATATTTAATTATTTAATAAAATAGAAAGAATAACATGTAATTTTATTACAGATTTCATATTATTTATTTTACTTTTATATTGAGAATGTAAAAAAAGCATAAAATATAAGCATTATTATCAAAATCAGCAAATCATTTATTAAAACCAGCAATTGATTGTTGTTTAAAAATACTATGATCATTTTTAGGAAGATTTTTTTATAGCTGCTCCTAAACTAACTAAACCAATAAAACAATCTGCTAAGATAAAGTATAAATGCTAAAGCATACAAATCATCAAAAAATGCTCTCGTACATAATATTGATTATACTAAAATATTTAAAACTTTTATATAATTTTTAAGAATTTATAAAATAAGATAAATAAAATTAATTTTTAAATTTAAAATTATTAAATATAATTATTTATTACTTACAATTTCTAATGGTATTTTATACCTTATAATAGAAAATACACAATCATACATTATATGCCAATATATTTCTACCTATCGTTTAAGATCTCTACTTTCAACTAAATTTTCTTTAGCTAATTTGTTAAGAGTATCGCTTATAATATAATTTAAATTAATAATATTAATAAAGGAATGTATTAAAATAATAATAAAATTAAATAATAATAATAATAATATTTATTTATATACCTACAAGATAACATTTTTTAAAATAAGTAATTAAAGTATTACATTATTTAAGCATTCTATTGACAAATGGAGTATTACAAACATCTTTTAAAATTAGATTAACAGCATATGCAATACACCTAATATTTAAAATACTTGGATATTTTTAGTAATAATTTAATGTGTATCTTGAATATTAGGGTTAGCATCTGTTATAATAGCAGATATTTTTTCTGAATTAACTTTTTCTGAAATTAAATCTATTTCTTTTACTAATAATTCTAGTTCTTTGGTATGCTTTTCATTAGATAAGTTTTGAAGATTCTATAAATATTGATGATAATCAGATGTATGTAAAACAAAATTTCAAATTGATTTATTAGAAGTAGGGTTTCGTATTTCGATTTGATATTTAAATATTTGATTTGATTTGATCAAATTCAAACCAAGTATTCAAATATTTGATTTGATTTGAATCAATAGTAAAGCCATCTCCAAAGTTTTAGGAGTGACTCTTACTAAGAAAACATAATAAAAAGCACCTTTGCGGCTTCAGAATACTTTTTTTACTAAGAAAACTATAGCAAAAAGCACTTCTACAGCTTCAAAAATGTCTTAGTTACTAAGAAAACTATCATAAAAAATAGCTTTACTGTTTTTGAAATGCATTTTTACTAAGAAAACCATAGTAAAAAATGCCTTCGCGACTTCAGAGATGTTATTTTACTAGAAAACATAGTAAAAAATGCCTTCACAGCTTCAGAGACACTACTTTACTAAGAAAATATAGTAAAAAACACCTTCGCAGCTTTGGAGACATTTTTACTAAAAACCTAGTAAAAAATGTGTTCGTGACTTCAGAAACGTTTTTTACTAATAAAATTATTATGAAACCGAAATGGCGGTTATTACTAAGTTTTCTTAGTAAAACTGAAGCTGCGATAGCAGTTATTACTAAGTTTTCTTATTAAAACCAAAGCTGCAATGGTGATTATTACTAAGTTTTCTTAGTAAAACTAAAACTGTAGAGTTATTTTATTAAGTTTAATAGTAAAAATTCACCTGTTATTAAACTTACTTTGTAAAAGCTATTTTTGAAATTTTTTAATGCAATTACTAATAATTTTCTTAATTAAAACTTTAGAATAACTTTATTTTAATATATCATTATAAAAATTAAAAAAAAATTTATATTCTATTCCATTTGATTCGATCTGATCAAATATTTAATTTGATTTGATTTGATTTGACAAATATTTGATTCAATTTGATTTGATTTGATCAAATTCAAATCAATTCAAATTGATTCGATCAAATATTTGAGTTCAATTTGATTTGATTTGATTTGATTTGAAAAAATCAAATCAAATTCAAATTGCTTAAATATTTGATTTAATTCGATGTTGAGGAATCTTAATTGCAGATATTATATAACTTTTCTATTAAATTTATTTATAAGTATTCAATTAGAATTAAATTTCAAATTAAAATAGATTATATTTAGTTTTTTAATATATAAAAGGAAATACATTTATTCTAAAAAAGTATTTTCAAAAAAATATAATTTTTAGTGATGCTTAAGGTTAGAAATGCTAATAATTATGATCATGACCAGTTATGACTGATAGATTTTGACTGATCAGTTAATTAAATATTTTTTAATTAGTAATCCAAGAATTCTTTTCATTTAATTAATAACCATTTTAGTTATATAATTTTTTATAAATAAAAATTTTTAATTTATTTTTTAAAAAAAGTTTATGATAATGCTGAAAATATGAAAGTAAACTTATTATGCATATCGAGTTAGCCTAAAAGAATAAGTAAAATATATATAAAAATTAGAGTTTTAGTAAATACTAATGATACTATTCCAAACCTATTTTAACGTGTAGCTTAAAAATTGAAAAATTATTTTAAAACCTTTAAAATAACTTTTTTAAATCTGAAACTTGATAAAACTTAATTGAATTTAGGAAAACTTAAAAGTTTAGGTAAAAATATTTATTATAAACAAATAGTTTTATCTCAAATATCTTGAAACTCAAATTTTTAAAAATAGTTTAGGGAGGCATCTTTAGCAAATACTATGTTAATACTATTTTAAAAATTAAATTAAAATTATTGATTAAGAACTTTAAATTAAATTTTGTTATATGGGTCGATCAATCAGTCAATATAATTAGTCAGTTAGTCAAAGACTTCTGATTGACTGTTAACTGATCATAATTGATTGTTATTATCCTTACTTAGGTTAATGAAATATATTATATAATATTATTTTATTAGAGATGCTGACTTCTCACCCCTAGATAAGATTTCTGATATTGGACATTTGCAATAAAAAGGGAAAAACTGCTGGAAAAACCAAAAATAAGTTAATGTTAAATTTAAATATATTTCAGCCTAAAAATCATATTTGATATATAAAAGTAAAATTAATTTTTCCTGATAATTTTTCCCTTTCTATTATAAAAGCCATATATACATAGTTGAGAATTTTGTATGTACTAGATAAATTTAACACTGTACTTGTACTATACTTTTATTAATTTTATATTTATTATTATAATATACTAACTGTACTAATTGTACTAATCATTATACTAATACTGTACTTTCCAACCCTGCCTATATATATATCAATCAATTTTCTTTTATAGATCTTATATATTAATCAATATATTATATTAGTTATAAAATATTAATATATAAAAAAAATAATAAAAATAATAAATAAAAATAATAAATAGAAATTTATTATATTATAGTCTATTTTACATCAATATATATATATATTTAAAAATTTTTAAAATCTCAATCTAAAAAAAATATGATGCTGATTATTTCTTTATAATAATTATATCTTATTGCATATTATTGCAAAGGAAATTATTTTACACTCTTTTAGTATAAAAAAGAAATTCAAATTGTTGCAGAGAAAAATTATTTCACTATAAAAAAAATTCAGATTGCTACAAAGTTTTATGACATACTTAACTTTTACATTTTGATTATAAAAACTTTTTTATAAATAAACATGTCAATAATTTTATTTTCAATGCAAAAATGAGCAAGAATTACTTTTTTGTTAATATATAATTACTAATAAATAAGTATCAAGAATTTACCAATGCTTATGTATATAGTATTATAGTTAAAACTAGAAATAGTATCTTAACTTAGGGTTGGACCAATAACTGAATTGCTAAATAAATTATTAAGTTTATTCAACATTGGTTAGTGGTTTATTAGCTTTTTTTTAATAAATTATAAATAAATATATTATTGGGTTTATTTTAATTATATCACATGATTTGCATTTATTCTAAAATCCCGAAACCTAAATTTTTATTAAAAAAATATTTATTATATTAAAAATATAACCAAATTAATACATATTTAATTTATTATATATACAAATATTGTTAAGTATTATTATTAATAAAATTCAGAGCTTCTAATCCTTATGGAAATAATTCAGATAAATGCTATTTTGAATTTTGATCATGTGTTAGATGTATACCTTCAGATATTGGAATATTAAAAATTATATCATAATCATCTTGATCAATATCATCACTTATTTCTTCTTCACTCATCAAATCAATCTAAAGTTAAATTGTTTTTCTCCAAGTTAACTCTATATCTTCTGAAAATTCTTGATTTTTATCATTTTCACTCTCATTTTCTCTTACTTCATTTTTACTTATTGAATGACATTCATCAAATAAATTCAAATTATTTTGATTTTGTAAATTTGGTGTTAATTTTTGAGATTGAAGTTTTGCTCATGTTATTTCCCCACATAATTGGCTCATTATAAGCATTTTATTATACTATAATTATTTAATATATTAATAAAATTTGATTTTATAATAAATAAAATAAATTAATAAAATCTTAAGATAGCTACAATAAAGATTATGTATATTTTTCATAGATGAAAATAATCGTTTTACAGGTGCAGAATTAATGCATATACCAAAGATTCTACATGCTACTAAAGCAAGTTTACTTCCGTCTTTTCCAATTGAATTCCAATACTTTAATATATCACCTTAAAATTGATTATAAACTGTAGTCTAATATAAAAATATATGCTTATTATAATCTTCAATTCTAGAAGTATTTGTTGAGGTTTTTTTTCAAACCATACTTTATAATAATAAATAAGCCAACCTTTAATATAATGTGAAACTTTTGAATGAATAATTTGATTAATATTAGTTTCATGATATATTAGATGAAGCCAAAAAGATAGTAATAATAGTAATAATAAAGGTTGCTCCCATTGTGCCTAATGCCTTTTCAAACGATTAATCATTTTTCTTAAAAATTCTATATTATTATGACAATTATATAGCTTATAAAATATCCAAAGCATTGTAAAACTTCATATAATTTTGCTACATCTTGTTGAAGTTTATAAAGCACATTACATAAAGGAATTAAATAAACTTTAAGAATTATTAAATTAGACCAAAATTGATCATCCTTAATTATATTATAAATAGAAGCTTTTAAAGATTTATCCTGGGTTGATAAATTTTCATATTTAGTAACAAGAGTCTTAAGTGTAATTTCAGATTTAAATAAACTATTAAAGCATATATAATGGCTATTCTATCTTATTATACATGGATGTTGTAAAGTAATTACTTTATCATAAATTGATTTTTATTCTTCTCGAAGTTTTCTCAAGAAATAAGATGAAATATTAAAAAATGAAATCAATTCTATTGCTTTAGTTAATACTTCACGATAATCTAAATATTTCACCTATAACTAGATTAACTTGATATGCAAAATAAGGTAAAAATATCAATTCACGATATTTTGGCGTAAATGTGATCTAGTTGCAATATATACACTAGCAGAATTTGTAACTATACAAATAACCTTTAATCCATTTTTTTTACTTTCATCTAATCAGGTTTCTATTTGATTTATAGCTTCTTCAGACCTTAATCGGTCAGCAGAAATATTTATTGTTTCTCATATAATACAATATCCTAATGATATAATTATTACAGTTCCAAGAATTAACTGTTTAATTACATTCTTCCAACCATCGAATGCAACTATAAGACTGATTTTTTCTGATTATGCAATTGATTCAAGTAATATTTTAATATCTTTTGCTATATTTTCTAAAATATTTCTAGCTAAACTTTTCTTAATAGTAAAGGTAATGCTGAATTAGCAAAATGAATCATTTCTTGAACTTATACATTTTCTACTTACCTAAATGACTTATCATAAGACACAGTAGTTCTTAATACAAGATTATACTAATGCTTAGTACTTTCAGTAGTAAGTCATCGAGGTATATAAAAAAGAATACTATTATTATTTGGTTGAGTATTAGTAAAACTAGGTTGTGTAAATTGTGTAGATGATAATGCAAAAGAATAGTTTATTGAATTAATGCTTGATTTTATAAAAACTAATGATGTGATATCTTGATTTTCATTATAACCTTCTCTTAAACGTTTTTTACCATGTCGTACTTTTTCTAACTGTTTTTAACGATCATCTTCTTGTTCTTGAAAAATACTAGAATATATAGAAGCCTATCCTTCTTAATTAAATTAAAAATTAAGTCTTAAATCTTGAACAATCTCTTAAATAATTTCAACATTTTTCTCTCTTATTATTTATTTCTTCAACTATCAATGATGAATTATTAGCATTAAAACAAGCTAAACATTTAGCAGTCTTATATGTTTTATTACATTTTTCTTCTGAAATATTGAAGTAACTAATTCATTTATGTGGTGGTTTACTACTATGTGGTTTTTTTAACATTATTAAATGTTTAAAATGAAATATAGAAATAAAAAGAAAAATAAAAAAATTGTTTTTTTGAAAAAAAAATTGAAATTGTGGGTAATATAATTGATAATTAATTTTAGTGAATCAAGCAAAAAATCAAAGAATAGATAACTTAAAATGATGTTTAAACTTTTAGAAGAAAAAGGAGAGACTAAAAAGGAAAGGGAAAAAAAATAGAAGCAAAAGGATCAAAAAATCAATAAAATATAAGTACAAATGTACAAATACTAAATTAATAAAAAGAGAATATTATAGATTAATAATTAATTAATAATAAATTTCTTGTAATTTTTGTATGATTTTATATCTATTTAAGAAAATGTATAAAGAATTCTAATCATCAATTAACAAAAATTGATTTATCAAAATTAATATGTTCTGGAATTTCAAATTCTATAGAATTTAAAAATCATATTTCATAAAATTTTGCTAAAGTATTTACCTTTCCTATTCCTCATAATAAGAGGTAAAGATTTAAATATTATTATATAATTAAAACTTGATATTTTTCATTATATACTAATATTATTAAATTTTTAAGGACTAATTTATTTTAAAACACCTTGGAAAGTTTCTATTTTTGGAATCTATGAAGAAGTCTTTTCTTAACAAATATATTTTAATTATATAAATTAAAAAAATATATAAAACTAAATTAACTAATAATAAAATTAATAATATATTTGATTTTGATAAAAAAATTATTTAATACAAGAAAATGAAAGTATGAAAAAAGAAGCAGATACTGTAATTTTTTTAGTTCACCATTATTTTGAAGATTATGGCTTTAAAGAAAATGTCTAGTTATTCATGTTAATAATTATTCAGGTCAGAATAAAATAATGCAATAATTCAGTATTTAGTATGAAGAGTAATGAATGGTTTTCATGATCAAATTAAATACTATTTTATGGTAGCTGATCATACCAAGTTTTCTCTTGATAAGTTTTAGATTAATTAAATTAAAATTGTAAAATTTAGAAGTTCAAGATCTTTCAGATTTAATTCAAGTTATTTATGATTCTAGTATTAAAGGATATAATACAGCTTAAAACGTATATAATTCAAATGAAATTCAGCAAGTTTATTTACAAATAGACTGAATTTTTAAACAATATATTTACTAAAGTACTACAAATTCTTTAGTAACTTCATTTTGAAATTTTAAGTAAAAAACTTGGAATAGTAAACATTCAAACAAAAATTAAAGAAGAAAAGAAAAAAATCTCAATTCAAAAAACCTTTTTATTCAACTGATCTTCCAAATGTATTGTTAGCAAAAAAATTATCTGTAGAACGCTAATAGTACTTATATGAACAAATTCATAAACACATTAGTGATCTAAATAAAAAAAGATCAATATTATTCAAAACTATTTATATTAAAATCTAATAAAAATATATTTGAAAATAAATAACTATTAAGTTATTTAAAGCATTATTTTTCATAGATTTTGAAATTTTTATTTTATTACAATAAATAGGGATATTAAACAGTCCCAAAAGACTGTAAACAAATATTGAAATTACGAGTTATAGAAAAGTCTGATTGCTTATTTATAATAAGTAATCCTTGATAAATAATTGTAATAATAAATTTTTGAATAACTTATAAAAGAAATATAAACTTTAGAATCGACAATTAACATGGGACTGCCAAGGTAAGACCCAGTCCTTAGGACCAGGTTCTAAGTTTCAAAAATTAGGATTCTGGGTTCCCGCATAAGTTTAATATATATTTTTAATTTATATTCAATTAACAAATTATCATTAGAAACTAAAATATAATACCAGTAAAATAAAAATCTTCTCTAGAACTGGCAAATTTATTGGGACTTTTAGGATCGTTTAGGAGCGTTTAACATCCCTAACAATAAATAAAAACAGTATTTAAATACTATAAATTAATATTTTAAATGAAAAAAATTTTATTCATAATCTAATATCCTAATATTCTAATGCTAATATCTAACTCTAACCCTTCATAAAAAATAGATTTTTTTTACTAAAAAAATAAATCAAGTTCACAAAATACTTAATAAAAATAAAATAAGAATAATGTAATACTATTATTCATTATCTATGATGATATTACATCATACTATGATAATATTAACATTCATGATGTATAGATATTTTCTTAAAGGAATTAAAATTTATATGCATCTATAAATTAATGTATTGTTTAATCTGATGTAATCTGATCTGATTTACATAGGATCAGATTTGACTTCTAAAATGAAAAAGGCCAAAATTTGTTAAAGCCTTTAAATTCGGAAAAGCAAAAACATGTCCATGAAACTTACTTTGATATCTAGAGAGAATTACCATTGCTTAATGTATTGCTACTTGCTTGAATGATTTTTGTAACCTTTTAATAGAACCGTAAATAAAGTATAGTATATGCGTAGTAAATGTATAAGGAATTAGTTCTGGAGACAAAGGGTTACATGTCCAAATAATATGGCTAGTTAAAAAAAATACCGCCTAGTTAGGATCTAAAAAGATAACGTTAGGTAATAAACGATTTTGAAAAAAGATTTCATAAACGTCTATAATTTAATTTTTTAATTGCTAGTTATATGATCAATAATAAATTATTTTTTTTAAAAAGTAAAATAAAAAAAAGTTAGAGTTTATTATTATTAAAGAAATAATAAATAAAAAAAGCGAACATACCTTGACTGAAGAACTGAAAGAACCGAAGGACTTAAAAAGAAAGAAAAGAAGAAAGCGTTAGAAACGAAATAGGTAATGAGCAATGAAAAAAAACTAACATACCTTAATTGAAGAACCGAAGAAGTTGAAGGACCTAAAGAGAAAAAAAAAAGCGTTAATAAACGAAATGGAGTAATGAGAAAATAAACAAACAAAAAAAAATGAACATACCTTAATTGCAGAACCGAAAACCTAAAATGAAAGAAAAAATAAGCGGTAGAAATAAAATGAAATGAAATGGAAAGAAACAAATAAATGAAAAAAAAAGAGTTTACCTTGACCGTAGAATCAGAAGAGTTGAAGTATCTAAGAAAAAAATATAAGAGCGACCTTCTAGGAAACTTTATGAAATGCTGTTAAGGATTATTATAAGAAGCTAGAAAGGGAACTAGAAGCCCTTAACAAGCTAGTGGCGGACATTTAAGAGACTGGTTATCCATGAGGAATGTGAACCCCCTTCCTCTTTAATAATATCATTTATTACTCTTATACTCTCTTATTGTATTTATTAATAAAGTTTACCAAAGTTTGCCTATATGCATGTGATATGTGTTATTTTATGAACCGCTAGCATCAAGCTGATAGTAATACATAAAGATACTAACAACTAATAAGAATTAAAATCATCAGTTAGAACTTTTATATATAAAGCTAACTAAGATTGTAATGGTATGGTCTGATCTGTAATATATTTAATGGTACCATAGCTATCTACATATCGGGCATTCATTAGTACATTTACAAGCATCTGATCATGAAAAAAGTGTATAACATTGATTCTATCATCGGATGGCCAATGAAGTTTCTGAGTTGCATAACCATCTTCACATGTAAAATGTACTATCCAAATATCATCCGCAGATAGTTGTTCAGCATACTTAAGAATCCTTTTAAAGTGTTCATCGAGGTCTTTTTTTGTTGCAGTGGCAAGAAGTTCGAGAACAATTATTTGACTATCCGTTGTAATTACTATATCGCTATATGTGTGCGTATCCAGATGCCACTGTCCAATGACATTGAAGCCACTCTTCTTAACAAGCCAGTTAGTCAAAATCCTGCTCAGCTCTGAATCGTACACGCTTTCTCGGGGAACTTTTTTCTTTTTTTTACCATCAACATACAACTTTTCTGCAATTTTATATGACTTATTGAATGCATTAGAAATGATTTTATTATCAAAGAACTGGATGGCCGTCTGTAAAATCTTGAGAATATCCAGGGAGAGATCATCTTTTAGGGGGACTGCACTTTTCGGAGAAGACATGTATAAATCAGGAATAACTCGTCGTCGCATCAGCTCATCTATAAAAGCAGATGACATTCTGAATGTATCGTTGTCATTGTCGCTTACTGTTAGCACTCCCTCGGCTGTAAGGAATTCTGCCAGCTTTATTTCTCTGGTGTCTGTGATTTTCACAAAATCAAGAAATCCTATGAACGAAGATCGAAGAAGGTCTACAGCAGGCTTGGCTTTATCCAAGGTTTCAAGCGTATCAACCATCTTCCTAAAGGTGGGATAATCAAGTATCACTTCTTCCAAAGAACCACTTGTAGTAAATTTCAACCAGGTTGAGATGTCAAGTGTTAAACTTTCATCGAGGTATTTCATTAAGTATAAAGAGATAGCTTTTCCGCAAAGGCAGACAAGGCCAGCATGCCTGTTATATAACAGAATCATGGGGAAAATGGATTTTAGATTTTTTATTTAACACGACTTTCCATTCAGCTATACATACCCATTTGTCCGTTTGTAAATATCTTTAACAATTTCTTGATCAATGATTATTCGTTCCTCATCCGCAAACTCCTTAAATAAGATCTGTACTTGTTCCAGCGTGAAGTTTGGGTTTTGAAATGGCTCCCTGACATTGAATGGTGACGTAGTTGTTTCTTTTGAGCTCAAATGTAATATGCTGAAAGGACCGACTGCATTGATAGACCAGATAGCATATTCATCTTTTCTTGCTTTAATACCACGAATAACTTTCAAGAATGAGGATTTAACATCATCATTTGCTGTATCCAATGTATCATACTCGTCTATGAAGAGAACAACCCTTTTTTTCCACCCACTTGTCGAAAACAAATTAGCGAAATCACTACCAGACTTAATATGATTTTTGATATGCTGGGGAGCAGTCCTGATGAGATTTAAGCCGAATGATGACCAGAATTTTTCTACGCTTTCTATGCCAATCATCTCAAGAGTTACACTGTTTCAGAAAAAAGAAATATAAGCAACAGAGGCAATGTGCAAACCTGGTACTTGTGATCAGATGGCTTAAAACTTACTATAGGCAAATATAGTCTTCTTCTTCCAATTGTTCCATAACTCTAAACACCCGTGTAGATTTTCCGGAGGCCCGTGCACCATGTAGTGCCACAAATTCACCATTCCGAATCTTATTAAGAAGTGGAACACTTAATGGATCAACAAAGTAGACAAAATCACGCTGAACTTTCCGAATGGCCCCATTGGTATCCCATTTTCTTCTGCTTCGTTTTGTGACTGTAGAAAAAACTTCGTAAGAATAATGGATGAAACATATAACTAAGTATGATACCACGTTTCTATCACACATTTCTTACTTTCTTTTTCCGTGGCCTTCCTATTTCTTTCGGGCTCTAATGGTTGCAATGACAGTCAGAAAACATATGTTGTGACAACGAAATATATCATTCAAGGTAAGAGCTAAACCTAGAAAGACATCACCAGTTCTTACGTTGGACTTCGGCCAGATTTTTCTCTTCTATTTGGTTTCTCAAAAGCTTTCTCAAAAGTTCATTTTCCTTCTTATAAACCTCCCACCAATGCGTAAAAGTTCTTGAAAATGGCAAATGAAACAAAGCAGGTCTAGGTGACTGAAGGCATTGAACTCGACGAGTAACGAAGTGAGGTGGGAAATCGGTCCTACGAAAGACCTGAGTAATTTTTGAAAAGGACATTTGCACGATGATACAAAAAAAATTTTGTGCGATTCAGCAGATCATTATATCAATCGCAGCGCATTTTTCCAATTTTGAATCTTCTGAACGTCAAAGTAAATGTGTTACATATAGCGCCGATCATTTTGCTAAGTGATTTTGATTTTCATATGAAATTTCACACCTTTTTTTACTTCGTTGATAAAGCTGTGAAAAATAATCAGCTTAAAGTTAAAAGCTTAGAAAGTTTTTAAAAACTCTTGAAAGGTATGTCTATAGAATATTTTTTTTGATTATATATCTCTTTCAAATTATATCTTTTTCAAATTGCTTTTTAAATATATTATTCTGAAATTATTGACACCTTTTATTGATATTGCAGGTTCAATTTTTTTACTGGGATTTTATGGAATACTATTACATTTTTTTATATACTTGGGGGTGTTAAATTCTTTAATAATGTAGAATAATTTATAATTCTAGTTATCTGTACTACTATATACATTTTTTTTCTATAATGTAATAGATTTGATTGGTCATATATTTAAAAAAATTTCAAATTTGTATAAATATAAATCTTTTTACACAATATTTTAAATTACAAATTTAATCTTTTACACTTATTATTTTTCACACATTTTTTTTAAAAATAAAAATGAATCAAAATATTTTAGAAAATCAAATAAATGATCATATAAATGATGAATTCTTTGATAATATACCTGAATTAGAAGAAGATTTTACTTTTCTATATGATAATAATGCAATAAATGAAGCATTTACTTTTGTATTAAACAGTCAAAGTAGTATAAATAGTAGTAATACAGAAGAATCTTTAGAACAAGATTCTGATATATTTACAGAAATTATAGAATCAGAAATAGATGTAAATATAAATCAAACAAAAACAAAAAATTTATCACCATGTGTAATAGTAGATTTAATAGATGGAAAATTACAATGTTGTAAAAATCCAGAGAATTCTCGTGGATTATAGCAATTAGTTGGAATGTGGCAATTAGATAAGTAATTGGTTGAAGCAGCAGGTAAGGATTTAGAAAAACTTGGAGTTTATTATAATCATTTTATGCTTGATCAAAATAAATTGCATTCATCTGGTATTAAAAAATCAAAAAATTCATCTAAAAGTATTATTCATAATCACAGATGTAAATTTTGTGGAATTAATTATTATTTTTTTAGTAGATGTAAATTTTCTACTGAGCATTCTTGGAATCTTATAAGAAAAAATATACAAATTCTATGTATTAGACAAAAAAATTGTAATGCATTACAAGAATTTGATTCAATAACTTCTTTATAATAATCAAATGGGACCTTTGCAAAAGAAGTACCGTTTGAAATATATAATCTTTTGATATTAGTTATATTATTGAATGATGATTATTCGGTTA